TTCTAATTTTTTTCTAAAGAGAAGAATTTGTATATTTTGATTGGAATATTTGTCTTCTGAGGAATTAAAATGTACTTAAAAGGAAAGACCAAATATCTTAAATCATAGATTATGTTTGCATGTACAGACTCAATGGCAATCTGTTTTTCCTGCTGAGGTTTTACTGCAAGATCAAAGAATCGAAATCTCCAGAATAGCTTCTCTGTCACTGATACTAACTCTAAAGAAATATATTGCAACCTTTTATCTTTCAGTATTTTCATGTACATATTAACACAATTTCTTGAAGACCAGAGAGAAAATATTCTTAAAAGTCGACATCAAAGCTATTTTCATTGACTCTTGAGGGTTTGTTTATGCATTTTTTCTTCATCTACTGCAGTGTTTGCAGTTCAGGATATTTTAGTTGACGTGGAGGGCTGTGAGGAGGCTGATGGATTCAGCAGCTGCAAATTACAGGATCAGCTGTCTGGAAGACTGAGTGAAGTGGGCAGTTGGCAGCCAAATGGGTACAACCCTTGTAGCCTAAGAAATTCCACAGTCAGTGCTGCAGGAAAGCCCGTGAGAGGATGACAAAATCTTTAACACCACTATGAAACTGTGTAAAAATAAAAATGCCCTAGTAGATGTGTGAGATTAATGACTATAAAAATGGTTTTGGAAATGGTGCTTTCTAAAAATCAAGTTATAATATTTTTTTTTGGCAAAAAAATAAAATTACCATTGACCTGGCATATATTTACAAGTAGATGTCAATAGATAAATGCTGTTTTCTTATTACTTAAAAGTACATGGTTTATTTTATCTACCTGCCACTTTTGGTAAGAGCAACTGGCACTCATGACAGCATTTAGGTACTATCTTGTGATACTGCTATTCTTTATTTATAAATTCAAAGTGTAAAAAGGGCACATGACAACGTTCTGCTGGTTTTGCTGTATCTAATGCTAAGTCACCAACAAGGAGTTAGGAAGAATGAGGAGAATGAGGCCGTGTTGTACCAGATCTTGATATTGAGCCTCAGTAAAATTATGAACTTACATAACATGACATTTTTATGCAGTATTTGAACTGCATAATTATTACAGAAAGTTATTAAATTTACAGCTGTGCCAGATATAATTATTTATTTTTTCTGAATTATATGTAAATCTGGACATCAAGTACTGTAGTAAGAAAAGTTGTGCTACACAATGCCAGCTGGATTTGACATTATATTGTTTCCTCTCAATATGCTGGTTTGCTTTAGGCAAATGTAGAGAAGAGATGCAAGTAAATAGGATGCAGCTTTATTAATGTCTTTCTGCTGAAGACTAATCAACATGAAGTTATTTGGCAAAAGTTATAATTTCTTCATAATTTTGTTCTCTTGAAGGCTAGTGTTAGCCTTTACACAGCTATTTTTGTGTCCTTTGCACAGCCTTCACCTTCACATCATCATATGACAATTAAAAAACAAAGAGGATAACAACAGGGACCTAATTTTTTTTTTTTAACAACTTTATATAAGATAGACTTCCCACAAACCAAAGTCTAACTCATTTTATCCAGGAACCTGATCTGTGGTGAAATGAAATCCAGTTCTTTTGACAAAGGCTATAAGCTCAGCTGAAATAGAAGTCACCCACCAAAAGATTGCTATGTGATGCGGGAATGTCAACCTATGACTCCTCACATTTTTTTTAAGAAATACCCAACAGACTGATATACAACAGTGTGTCATGCATGTGGAGTCTGAAATATCAGGAACTGCTGCTCAGCTACTGGATATCACATCAGCAGCTGGTGCCTGTTCAGTAAGAGAGTTGCATTGACACTGCTGCTCTCTAAGCACACAATGAATCCAGCCTACTTTTGTCTGTCTTCAGACTTAGAGTGCATATGCAGATGGACTGCACAGCATATATGAACTATTGAACTGGACATAATCAGACATCCTGAGTGTTTCAATCAGATTTTCATCTCATAAGAAAAGAATGAAAAAAAATCCCAAACCAATAACCCTAAAGATTACATCCTGTCAACATACTTATCAGAAAGGGAAAAATCCTTTCAATTCTCACATGTAAGTAAAGACTAGACTATAGTGACCATTCAAAGCTGTAATGATTCCAGGCCAGAAGGAAGAGAGAGCTGATCATACAGTCAGAAAATGGAGCTCAGATTTTATATGTTATGAAAAGGTATGTAGGGACTTGATTTCCTTCCTGGATCATTCAACCACTTGGAAAATATACTCACTTCTTCTCTTTGGCCACCCATTCTGTTCATAACCTAAATCCTTTACGAGCTGGTACTTTGTCTTTTACTGAGATGGTAGTCTTATATGTTAAGGTCAGAGTGTGTGACCTTTATTTGGATGTGATCAAGGTTGGCCTTATGTTCTTTCCATGTTACTGAATCTCAGGAACTGTTAATTATCTTGTTAGTACATAAAGCACTTGGCTCTGCTGTACCTGCAGTAGTCTGTAAGTAAGTAGACTTTGCTTTTTGAGGAAAATGAGCAACTTATAGCAAGAATGTAAAAATTAACAGCATATGTCCTTGAATATCTACTTCTTTCAAACCTCTAGTGGTACTGGGATTTGCATTTCAGTAAAAAATTGTCTGTTTTGTTGTGGAAAGTTTCAGAAATTTGAGATGCTTTGGTAGCTAGCATAATGGGAGATCAAGAGAAAACTTTTTTGAAGTGTGAGTCTGAATTCTTGATTTAGAGTGTTATCTAGATTCATTAGCCAATATTTTCAGTACATTATCTAACAGTTGTCAGGAGACACTTGCTGATTGTTAATTCTTTCCTCTTACGGCTTTGTGTTTTCTACCACTCTGAGAATTCTTATGGCAGTTGAATTCAGCATGTACCTGGAAAATACTGAAAATTTGTTTTTGCAGTTTGGCACATCCTTAAGCTCATTCACATAAATAGCCTAAATGAAGAGATATTAAGTATTTTTCTATAGATTGTGCCTAATTAAAAAAACTACAGTTACTGGGCAACAATTTATTTTTTTTATCCCTGGAATGAAAATTTAACTGCATTATGGCCAAGAGGAAAAAGAGACTGACAATCTTGAAGAACTGAATGCAAATTCAGTCAAACTAATTCACTAGAAATATTCTTTAAAACATTTGAAACAACATAGAATTACAGCTGTGTTTTTCAGTCAAGTATCAGTTGTAGTTGGATGAATGGACAATAATAACTAAATGGATAATAATAACATTTTCCAAAGCCTGGAAAATATTTTGCTAAGAGTTTTAGCTTTCTCTGTGTATCTGTAGAATTAGATGAGCATACTAATCTAGTAAGTAGAGCATCTATTTGCTCACCTGAAAGCGTGTGGATGTTTGAATCCCTGAGCACTTGCAGTGCTAGATGTTGGCAGACCAAGCTGTGTGTATTGTACTTGAAAATATAGATTCTGGCTGTTACTGTTACAGCAAGGGAACTGAGGAGATACTGCCTTTCTCTCATGGCAGTCCCAACACTCTGCTCATTGAAACTCCAAACTTTTGTGCTCATCTGGCATTTCTGAGAACTGCTCCTGCAGGGAACTTGATGTAATTGTCAGGGCTTTATTAAAATGAGTAAGTACCAACTGCACTCAATGATAGTAGCTAATATTGTGCTATCTGTTGTACAGAATTATTTAATATTATCTAGATATTTGATTTTGGTTTAATTTGTTACATATGTACAATTACATAAGCAATAATTTATCTTTACTTTCAGACTGAAGATGCCAAATCTGAACTGATAGAAAGCAGTGTACAGTATTACTATTTTATAAATAATGAGATTTACTGATTTTCCTGTTATGCTATCGCTGTACGAAACCACAAGAGTATCATCAGAGACTGCTTCATTGTAATAAAGTTTCATTATTCATTGTAGTAAGTTTTCATGGTAATCATTTTCTCATTTTTATTGATGTATATAAAAAGGATATTTCTGAAGGTTTGAATTAAATTTATATATTTTTAAGAAATAGGTGTTGTATTTAAATATGCTATTAAGTCACCTTTAAATATATGCCAGATATCTAGGAAAAAAGGCCTTAGGATCCAGTGTTAGTTTTTTTCAGTGTTTTAATCAAAATTTCCTTACTTGTTTGTAACAGGCTTTTTACACATAGTTTTCAGAGTTGTTACAAAGCAGTGTTGTTTGCTCAATAGCATATGCCTAAATATTCTTTAGTATTGTGATTTATCCTTTCACAAAGAAAATTAAGAGTAGTTTGAAATGATTTTACTCTGTATTAAGCACAGTTTAGCAATCAGTAACATTAATTGTTAAATTTGGAGAATACCATCCCATCAAAACCTTAGTTTTATAACCTGGTAACTTTTCTCTTTTCTCCTTTCTTAACACAATTGTTCACATCTCTGTTTTCTCTCTTTCTCCTTTTCCATCAATCTTCTTCAGTTCAGTTTTAAGCCCAGGACAAGACTATGCAAACCTTAAAGCCCTTAAAGCCCTCTCGCTCCTGCAGTCAGCAATGGGTCACAGAAATGGCTTATTCACAATGACTTTTGCGCTACTTGGTTAGAGAGGCTAGATTAAATGAACTTTATTGATGGCACAGACCAGATTCTTTGCATTTCAACTGGTGTGCATGTGTGTGGAGCAGAGACAGAGACAGCCCATGGCAATATTATCACTTTCATTCTTATTGCTGTCTTCTAGAATGTCACCTTATGGTGTTAGTTTTCTGCTTCTGAATCATGTGATCTTGTTGTGCCATCCTTCTTTACTGTATGCTGTCTCTGCACTTCCTGAGCAGTATTGAGAACAGACAGCTGCTGGTTCAGTTGCTGTAGCATTGCTATGAATTAAAAAAAATAAAAATAAAAGATAATTTAATTAATGTATTAATTACAGTATCTTTCCTCTATGAAATAATCTATTCAGCATTTAATTAAAAGTACATGAAAAGCAGAGCTGATCCATGAAAGGACCATGCCTGTAGCTAAATGTCTACTTTATTTTTCCATTACAGGATATTTGTGAAGATATATCCGATCATGTTGAACAAATTCACGCTCTACTAGAGACTGAGTTTTCCCTGAAGCTTCTGTCTTACTCTGTCAATGTGATAGTCGATATCCATACAGTACAACTACTCTGGCACCAGCTACGAGTTTCTGTTCTGGTTCTGAGAGAGCGTATTCTCCAGGGACTACAAGACGCCAATGGAAACTACACCAGGCAGACTGATATTCTGCAAGCATTTTCTGAAGAGACTAAGGAGGTATAATAACTAAATCCAATTTTGAGAATGTTGCACATTTAAAATTGCTAGGATGACAATTTTAAGGATGGCTTACTTGTCTTCTAGATATTTTGCTAAGTTTGTTTTAAATGTCTTTGGCTGATATCTGTTCTTGTTGAACCAAATTAGTGCAAATTAACGTCAGCTCTCAGAAATGTCATGCTAGAGGCTAGCAATGTTTTCTCCTGATGGAAATATTTTTCAGAAAGGATTTGAAACACTTACAGAGGTTCATCTGTTCCAAAGCTGTTGGTTTGGTCACTCATGTATTTGAGGTTTATAGCCAATTTCCAGACTAGGTCTGCATTGCTTTATAGCAGGAGGATGGGCTTTAATTTGAGTGGCAATTCTGCAGTGTGCCTTTAAACAGTCACACATTTTGTCTGAGAAACAACAATGCACAAATCGTACATTGTTTACTGAACAGTATGTCAAATTCACAAACGTAAATGGTTTGTAAATCTGGGTTCATGTAACTAAAAAGTTTTTTCCTTTGAATTGATAATTACTAAATCAACTTACTTAGAAGGACACTACTGGCCTAATTTTTTAAACTTAAAGAAGATGCACAGTTTTAATTTTTATTTAGGTAATTAATGATTGATAGTATGTAGAAGATTTTTCATTTGATGAAAGTCCTAAGATTAAGATCAAATGCTTTTGTCAGGATTAGATGCATTTACAGAAAGAGAACTCTAGATCAGTGCAGTGAATTCTGTAACAACCTGTGTTACAGAGGAAGTCAGAAGTCCCCCAAAGATGTCCTGAATTTCATTATCACTCAAGTTCAAAGAGAATGTGCATATTTGTCTGCTTCCTGTTGGGTTTTATATTTGTCTTTGGAACAACAGGGTGGGTGCCAGAAATCAATGCTCAGAGATGCCCAGGCCCACCTTTCACATCTCCTCTTCTTGATGTATACATACCTGGTGCTTCAGATTCAGTTTCTGCTTTGCTGTTGCTGGTAAACCTCTGGCAAGTCTGAAGGAAATCTACACTTGTCTTAATATCCAGACTGGTGAATTAGTGTGAAGTCATTATTTTATGGCATGCACATGGTAATTTCAAGACATAAAGAAGGTGCAGATTTAGATACCAAGAAATAGGAAATGTTCCATCTGGATCTGATTATGACTGCTATAGAAAACATCCCTCCAATGGAGTAGAGGACTGACTGGAGAAGGAAAGATTATTTTTCAGTGGGTAAAATATATGGTTTCCAGATAGGCTTGCATGGTAATATAAAAGATAAAATATCCTGACATCATTCCTTTTACCCACCCCAATTAAAACATAAAGAATATTTGATAAAATTAATGGCTATCAATAGCAGGGATACAAAGTTGATATAGAATTTCTGCCCTATTACTTAAATAAGTTCACAGAAATTGCTCTGCAGTTTCTAACTTTCAGGTATTTAAGCTTTTTATCAGGTATAGTGATAGCAGCTAACTGATGAACATAAATAAATAAATATAATGTAGAAACAATTGTATCTACTCTTATTCACCTTTTCTTTGATGTTTCTCCCCCCCCCCCATCCCTTCCCAGGCAGGACTACATTGTGGAACTAGTGAGTGCCTCATGATACAAATATTTTCTGTTAAGGATTTTCATGCATAGGTGAATCAGGAGTCTGAGTAAACCTAGAAAACTTTGCCCATATGGATTCCTTGGAGAGTCATTTCACTAATTTTCAGTACGCCTTTGGGATTATGAACCAGGAATGGCAGTTTATTTTTCCTCCTAAGATTGAGAAATAATCTGACTTAAATTTACAGAAGGAAACTTTCACACACAACTAAGACTTCTATTTTGGAGTTCACTAGAGTAGAACACTTAGAAATGCAGAAAAGATAAAAAAATAAATGTGAAAACTAAGCAAAGATACGAGGATGATACAAAAGTTAAACCTCCAGATAAGGAAGTTCCTATGCTGCTCATTGGTAGAAGCTGGGAGTGCAGGTAGAAATGTGTGGAGAAGGGCCATGTATGTAGACCCACATCTCATAGCTCAGCTAGCAGAGAATGTTTTGAACTGATGCAGAGACAGGATGCTGAGCCAGATGGAAATTTGATCTGAACAAATTTCAAATGCTATGCTTTTCTAAAGTTCATGAACCTATAATTTCACAAAATGTTTGGATCACTCCTTAAGTCCATTGACTTCTGTGCGATGCTGAAGAACAGCTTTGGCTGCCAGCGTTAACTGAGGAGTTCCCTAAAAGAAGTGAACTGCCAAGGTTTCTTTTGTGTTCAGTCTCATCACGTTAATATTCACTCTAAGTTCCCAGACTGCACAGTAGTCACGGTGCAACAGTCCCATCTGGGCTGTATTTACACTGTGGCTATAACACCCATAAGTATGCACAAGCTGTCCTCAACATAATGAACAGGGATAACACCGGTAGACTAGCTACCAAAACACAAAAGTATACAGCACGGGCTGTACTGGCTTGGTTAGATACCCAACTCATTAACTGGGCAGGCAATAATTGTGCTTTAGGCTATCCCAGCAGTGCCACACTGAATAGGATGCCAGAAGGAAAGGGCACACAAAGCTTTTTGTCTTGGAGGAAATAAGAGGAAACAGTAAGGCAAGCTGTCTGCCATGATGGAGATGCAAAATTAAGAAAATAATTGTTTTAATAAAAAGCTTTGGAGAGTAGGGATTTTGAAGGACCACTTTTCCTTCAGGAATTACCCAGAGATGTTAAGAAAGAAAGAAAAATTAGTTCTGTGCAGCCTGAATTCTGTCCAGCTAAACCCAACCTGTGAGTTTTATTTTAGAATTGATAAAGCCAGGAAATAGGGAAAAGATCAGTAAAAGGCTATGTTAAAATACAGTAAATCCTGATTCTTCAGCAGTTGGTAAAATCACAAAAGAAGTGCCTTACACCTTAAATATGTTCATTTGAAAGAGTAAAAAAAAGGCAGACTTTTACTGCTTTAAATATAAATATAAGAAGGTATTGGAAAGAGCCTATAGACCTTTACAGGAAGCATTACTATGTGAAAAGGGAAAAAAAGAATTTAACTAAGTCATTCCTATTGGTAGCCATAGAAATAATTAAATTTAACATTTTTCTGAAATAAAAACAATAAAAATTTGGTAATACTGGCATTAAATAATGCTCCTCTGAAGCACACATTTCAGACGCTGCTTGGAAAATAACCAAGCAAGATATGATTGTAAATTTTATTAATGTTAATAGACACATTTTTAAGAGACAAAGGAATGGATCTCATTATTCAGGAGAAATAAAGGCCTTTAGGGCCTTGGAAAGGGTTTTGATTTATATATGATTTTACGGTTTGTAATCTTTTCCTGAGATTAGAGGGAAAATGCACCTGTAATACTGATCATTGTTTAGTCATAATTTTCCTTAATAAATACAACTCCAAAATATAAATTTGACAGATTCATAGAAAATTCCCCTTTTAATTATGGACTGTTGACAATGTCCAATTTGTGACATAGGTTCTACATCTGGGTGGAATGTGCTAAATAAAAGATATTTTCAATGTCTAAGCTTATGGTTGATAAATAAATTTCTAATCAATCTATTATATAAATAATATTTTTAGCTGGAGGATTTTTTCTGTTTTTACTTTGAGTAATGGAAGGGGGGTGGATAGAGAACAAGGCTCAAACATTAGATGTTTGTAGAAGTTGGCAAACAATAGCCTTCTTTTTTGAGATGATTCCCGTTCAGACCAAATCCAAGAGGTTTATTGTGAGATGAAGAGATTATGTGGTTATTGCACCTTCTTCAGGCATGGTGTTTAAGGTCCTCAAACTATGGATTTAGGCAGAATAGTGAGACAGGTGTATAGTGGTACAGAGAATAATTCCGACACGAACTGATTGTGGATACTCAAGAGTTTGCTTAAAAAAATTGTTATGAAAACCAAACCTGGAAAGAAAAAAACAGTATACTGATTTAGGCATTAAATTTAGAATATATGAACATGAATTTCTCCCCTCTTTGATTTTTTTTAAGTAGTCTCTGTAAGCAGAAGGCCTGTGTAGGTGTTAGAACATCTACTAAAAATATGCTTACAAACTGTAGACTAAACACAATTTTCCTGTGATTGTTATGTATCATGCAGTATTTGGATCTTAATCTCATCAGAATTTTTTAGTGTCCTTCAAGTAAGACTATAAACATTAATTTGACTTTGATCTTAAAATCTCATTTGCCATCTGAGATGGTCTCCTCTGGCTATGTCCATGTTTCTGAGATTGAAGGACTTCCATTGAGAAGATATTGACAAGGGGACATGGCAGGTTAGAGGTTTAGCATTCCTGGATATAGTTTTCTTTCCTTGAGATGTTCTTCATTTGTCCTTTAAATATTTGGCAAATAAATTTTCAGGTGATAATACTACAAAAAAGTGAAATGTAATTAACAACATCTATCTCATAAATGTGGAAAGAAATGTCTGTCATTGCTACATGATGCTTGGAAAAAACATTCTGGCAATCAAGAGCAGCATGGATTTTTGAGAACACAGGATTAACAAGGAGACTGGTGTACTCAGCAGTATACCCCAGGATACCCTCCCTCTGTTTGAGGTAGTTATCACAAGAAATACTATGAGTGTGCTGTATGGAATTTCTGAGTCCCCCCTGCACAGTAAGTAGAACTGAAAGCAGAATTTAATGAGGAAAACACCAATACAAAAGTGGTTTAGGCTGTTTTTAGGTAACTTGCTGCACCAGACTGAAATGAAGCATTTTTCAGTTTACTGCCATTTTTAATTCCCAAATACTTCATAATAGTTGGCTCATTTACAGGATGCTGCAAAAACAGACAGGTCAGTGATAAATGCTTCTCTAAATGTTAGGCAGAAAAACACAGAAGTCGATAGTTTGTTACGTTGTGTGTGCTGTGTATGAAAATTAATTTACTAAAAAAGTACCATTTCTTTATATATTTCAGGATCGTCTTGACTCTTTAACTGAAGTTGATGATTCTGGGCAGTTAACCATCAAATGTTCTCAAAATTACTTGTCCCTGGATTGTGGTATTACTGCATTTGAACTATCTGACTACAGTCCTAGTGAGGATTTGCTTGGTGCTCTGGATGATATGACCTCCAGCCAAGGGAAAGCAAAATCATTTGAATCCTGGAACTATAGTGAGATGGATAAGGAATTTCCAGGACTTATCAGAAGTGTGGGTTTACTTGCAGTAGCTACTGATTCCATTGCTTCCCAGTGTAATGAAGCATTAAAGGAGAAAGAAACCCATGTACCTCTTTCAGCCGAAGATGGAGAAGAAAGCAAAGACAAGAAAGCACCACATGATCTCTCACTAGCATCTCCTTCTGCAAATTCCTCTCTTTCTAAAGGACCTTGCTCTGAAAATGTTATTTTACCTACTGAGAGCAAACCAGTTTCCACATCAAAGAATCCAGAATGCAGTCTTCCACAGCACGCTGGTGAAAAAATCAAACACTCTCACTGTGAAACCTCAACTCCCAAGAGGTCCATAAGAGACTGCTTTAACTATAATGAAGACTCTCCTACGCAGCCTACACTGCCAAAAAGAGGTCTATTTCTGAAAGATGATGTGTTTAAAGATTGTATGGAAGCTAATGATTTAAAAAGGCAAATCTCTCAAATAGTCAAAAATGAAATGAGTAGAAGTACACCCTCATTGTTAGATCCACCAGACAGGTCCAAGCTTTGCCTAGCTTTACAGTCACCCTATACTAACAGTCCATTTGCAGTTAGTCAGTCATATGATTGCTTAAATACAATAAGTGATAAAAATCTTGATTACACAATAAATAATCACTTTAAAGACAGTCCCATAATTCTAGGAAAGTCTCCTTTCTACACCTCTAAAGAAAAATCAAAGCACAAGAAGTGTCATGATGCTCCAGAGAAAGTGAAAGCTGGCAGAATATCTGGAAATATTTGTAAAACAGCTCCATCAACAGAAGACAAAAAAGGAGGATATTCTCTACAGAATGGAATCACTCCTCATAACTCTCAGGCTCTGGAGGAGACGGAAACAGATTCTTCTGCATCATCAGATTCTTGTAACCAGAAAGATCCAAATGGGCAATCACAAGGTAAAACTGAGTCCTGTAGTTCACCAACACATAGCCAAAAGACTGCTTCTTCAGCTGGTTCTGAGCTTTCCAACTCATCCCCTCTTCTACTGACGAGAAAGAAAAATAAAAGCTTATCCTCTACAACACACTATACTCAAAAAACCGGGAAAGACAGTGAGGTGTGGTATGGATCTGATGAATATTTAGCACTTCCTTCACATCTCAAACAGACTGAAGTACTAGCTTTAAAACTAGAAAATTTGACCAAGTTGCTGCCTCAAAAGCCCAGAAGAGAAACCATTCAAAACATTGATGACTGGGAACTCTCAGAAATGAACTCAGATTCAGAAATGTATCCAACATACCAGACAAAAAAGCACAAAAAAAGGGGTAGAATTTCACCAAGCTCTTCAAGTGATATAGTATCCTCCTTAGGTGACAGTATTGAATCTGGGCCTCTCAGTGATATTCTCTCTGATGAAGATCTTTGTATGCCTGTATCTTGCATTAAAAAATACATTGAAGAAAAGTCAGAAAGGACTGCTGTCACTCAGCCCACTGGGAATGAGACTTCTGCTTCAAATAAATCAGCTTTAATTCATCAACTGATGCAAGATATACAACATCAAGAGAATTATGAAACCATATGGGAAAAAATTGAGGTAAGGCAATATCCTGTGTTATTTTGCTGTGTTCTTGGTAAGCCTGTATATGAAGAAGGAGCTGCGGGTAGGGATGCAGTTGCTCTCCTGTTTTCTTTCAATGTTGAAAATAGTCTCACCTAGTGACTTCTAGAAGTAGAGAAGAGCAGTGATTATTATAATTACAATAGTCTGCAGTTAACTAATTATACAGAATTTGCCTACATTATTTTACTTATACCAATGCCTTTAAACTTGGTAAAACATTATTTTGTCAACAAAGCTGCTCTTTGCCAAGATTGGATACATAAGTTATTTTTGTATGAAGGGTAAGATAAACATTAGAAAATCAGGGGGCTTTGTTGATATGATACTAAATATCATATTCCTATTTTCCTAATTTAAAAGATTTGCTTTATTCCAAGAATAGGAATCTCGATTCCTGTCATATCATGTATAATAACAACATTTCTTTTTAATTAGTTCTCTTCCCTTGCAGTGATTTTTGTTTCATTTTTTTTTTTTTTCTGATGAGTTTGTCTTCCTGGCCATTGTAGATATCTTTTCAACTCAGAACATTTCATTCCCATCCTCAGTGGACTTTAAATTTTCAGGAAAGAAAGCTCCATCTCTATTAGATTTCAAAATCCTTTAGAATTCATAACACATGCATTAAAGGGTGATGTTGGCATCTAAATGCTAAATCTGGTGTCTGCATTAGCTACTGTGTTATCACGTTCTCTACTGGCTAAGAAAAAAAAAGGACTAGTTTTATAATGCCAGTAAGTGTTTCTTATGATACATGATTTCTGTAACTTTTGCAGACATTGGAAGTATTATGACTAGTAGGAAAATAGTTGAGGTAGAGATGTTAAAGTCAAGGTAGAAAACACAAAAATAAATTATTCTTAAACAAAGGAGATTGCTGCAGCTGTCAGCTCTAAAGGGCAGTGCTTAATGATTCAAGTTGTTCCCTCCATCTTCATGGCTGGGGTTCATCTTCCAGGATCTGATGAAAGAACCATCTTCATAAGTGCAAGCTGTTTCTGTGCTTAAGTTTGTGTAATGTTGAAAATTAGTCCAGCTGAAGCTGACAGATACAAAGCAACTTTGTTGCTGTGAAAGCAACAAAGCCCATCAGAGCTGCTTGTGAATACATAAGATGCTGTCTTTCAAATGACACTACAAGAGCCTGTTTGGAATTGTTGAGTGTCTAGGGACCAGCTCCCTCCAACAGATGCTGACTAGCATCCTTTTGGCAAGAAACAGGTGGCAGAGAAACGTTTTGTATTATCCTCTCAAATAATCATGTTATTTTATCAAACTTTTTGAAAAGGTAATTCTCTTTTGAGGGGTCATCTGTCTTTGAATGATTCCCTGCAGCTGCAGTTCAGTCCTGCTAGGATGCAGGAGTAAGGATCAGCTGTAGCAACTGGCTGCAGCTGTAAACACCCACTTCCTCTCAATACCCATCCTCTCCTCAGCTCCTCTGGAGAGTGGGTTGAGCTTGTCGTAGCAATTAAAGGTAGTTAGCTGTTCTCTGGCCGGAGTAAATCCTTCTAGCTAGTGATTGCAGCTGCTGCTCATGTCCTTGAGGAACTTTGCTACTCTTGACTACTTTTTCTACAATTTCTCAGTGTTTCTGGTTGTTATAAATATTTGGAAAACATTGATCATGGAGTTTGAAAATAATCTTATGAAGTATGTTGTGAGAAGGGATTCATAGTAAAAGGAGGTCTTCAGACAAAAAGAAGAGCCGATGCAAAGAGCACTGCTAGGAAGAGAGATAGCTCAATGTTCCATGCACTTAAAAGCAGAACACAAGAAAGTTTCATATTTATTTCATGCAGAAAGATGTATGCTGGATACACTAAATGTGCTTCTTGAATAGTGAATAAAAATAATCAAATGAAAAAATTTGAAATATTTTGCAAAGCAATTATACTATTTTAAAGAAATGTAAGTTTTTCCTACGCTACTTATTTACCTGAGTTTTTCCATTGATGCTAGTTATTAAATTGTCTGCTTGTAAGACTGGTTAAAAACTAATTTTTCAGTACAAGTGTTTTACCAAGGTAAATCCTGCCTCAGTAACAATATGGTCCCATGCTGAGGTACTTGAATTTGACAAAGTAATAAGAAAATAGAAAATTCCTCCCTTATGAGATGCTATGAAGTATTGTGCACACAAAAAAAAAAATCTAGCTAAAACTACCATACGTGTGTCACAATTGAGTCCTTTCTTTTGCTAGATCTCCTGTTTCATCATTCCCTAAGCCAAGTGTCAAAAATGTGCCATTGCTTTTTCAATTTTTGTCATTTGGCATTTGCGTTAATTCTGTTATTTAAGAAGATGTATCCAACTCAAAAAGGAGAATCCTAGTTGCATGAATACCTGTCTCAGCAATAATTCAATACTGCTTTTGTTAGCAGTAGTTTCATGCAGAAGAAGTCAGATCGGAAATGTAAACTTAATTAAGGATTATTCTCAATAATCCAGTTGCACTGCTGCAAATGTCTAGCTTAATGTATTTTATCTATTAAATAGTAAAACAAAACTAAAATTTCTCAGTCTTTCATTTTGGGATAACAACATCTTAGAAAAAACTGGCAATCTCAAAGTCATTGCAAGTCATATTTTAGCTAGGTAATAGAACAAAAAAGGAAGTTTCAGCATTTTATTATGATGGGAATAATTTTGAATTAGTATAAATGTGATAATACCTTGATAGAAAACCATTTGTTGAATATATGCTAAATAATTTCTTTTAAGCCTTATTAGTTATAGAAAGGATAGTCGTGGGCAGAAACATAAACTGTAGTTTTTGATATTTTTGAATTATGCAGATGTCCTTACATGGGCATTATCATGCTTTTAATCTAGCTGTCTGTCTACAAACAGAATTCTTCTTGACTGGCCCATTTGACAGTTTCTTGCTTTGCAATAAATACTGCATATTCTTGCCATATTTTGTCTTGCACTGCAGGTAACTCTTTGACACATGCTTCATGTGCCCTTAGTACTGGGCACCTTCATTCTGGGGTACAAAACAATTTCTGTGGCAGTTTCTCTTATGTTTCAGAAGTTAAATGTGAAACTGAGTGATACCAAATTCTGAATGTTCCTCTTATCGTTACAGTTCAGCTTTTAGGATTCAGAGTAAGCTCTGTAGTTTCTATTGCACTAACTGAAAAGGGAAAAGATATAACAGCATCATTATCACAAAATAACACCAACAGAGTTCTTTGCTATAAGAAGTTAGCCAATTACCACTTCTGATATGTAACACTAGGACTTTGGAGTATCGGTTTCACAATGCTTAAAGGTTTTCTTTCTGAAAGCAAGCTAAGTTGTCCTTAGAATCGTATTTATAACTGGGTTTGTGTCTGTGCGTCCCATTTCAGGTGCAACCTGAAAAATTGGAAATAAAAACCGATCTTGGGCTGAACTAATGACAATACATTTGCAATCATGTGAATAAAATATAATAACAATAAAATAACCTCAGGCAGTTTTATCTCCTCTAGAAAGTGATACTAAATGGACTATAATGACACCTTATGCTGTAATCTGTGGTCACTGATAATCCTGTCTGCTTGATTATTAGGCACTATTACAAAGAGTAGAAATATAACCATTTGCAAGACACTCCATTTAAGTGAAAATGTGTTTGCTTTGCAGGCTTCAAGGTTAATTGTGTGGAGCAAATTGCTGATTTTTTTACTGTTATATAGATTTATCATAGGCTCCTTTTCTGTAAGAGGCAGCTGAATTTTTTCTACAAGAAGAATTTGGTATCTGTTGATCCCATCTTTTTAGTTCATCACATTTCATAAATTTGCTCTCAAGTCCATTTGCTCTATATTTTGTACAGGGAGCCCAGTCAGTCTCGGTTACCCACCTCCTTGATGTGATAAGGGGATAAAATAATGCTGCTCTACATGTTTTTCAGCTGTCAGTTAGAGCATGCCCCAGGGAACCTACAGCAAAGAGAAGGATACAAATTTTACTGCCTTCCAGGACCCAGGCAGGAAAACCCTCAGCCTCGTGTGACCATTTATCCCCACTGAACCCAGGATGTCTCAGTGGAGCAGAAATCTAAGACCCTTCTTTGACACTGGAGTAATGAGAAATTTCCTGTCTAGGAGGCAGTAAGGATCAGTGCAGTATACAAAGGAGAGTGCAATATCAGCTAAACTCGCTAGTGTGACAAATAGCTTGTATGTTGGGGTGGGAAAGATTTGCATTTTCAGGGGGTAGTCACAAAAAGTAACTAAGTGGTAGGCTTCTGCATAGGCTTAATGAACAAGGTACAAACTTATGTTGGAGATATGGCTGGGAGTCTATTTGGGTACTGGAGAGACAGTTTGTTAAAAATAGTTGGAGAACTGATACAAAGTGGAAATAATTTGTTTAGATTGAAAGGGGACAGAGTTGCTTCTGGACAGAGAATTGCCAGAAAACACACCAGTACAGTTTAGGTAGAAGCTGGATTTCTTTAGGGGAAGAAAAGTTTTCTTGTGTTTGGAGGTGATTTTCATCATTAGGGGGAAAAGCTTGCGTAAAAGACAAATGCGGTTCGAGCTGTGGGGCTAAAGTAGTGAAAAACTGATAGGAACTGATAATGCTGATGGAGCTTGGTAACAAAGGAAAACATGGAACTGAAATCAGTAATGGCAGAACAAGTGGAAAAAGGAAAGAAAATCAACAGGGCACAGGACTGGCTTATTTTAGATTGCCAGATAAAGGATTTTTAAAGTGCTGTAGTGCTCCTTTCAGCTGTCTTACTTTCAATAGCTTAGTAGCAGTGCTTCTGACATTGACCCTGTTAAAATAAATGGATTGCATAGTTACCCTAACAGATAGTGAGCTTGCCAAAATCTGTTCATCTCTGAATCTTACTTATACTGCTTCATACAATTTAGATTGAAATACTGCTTTTGGTTGATGCCCAGTTTATAAAAAACAGTAAGTGAAAGAGGTATCAGATCCAGAAATTACTTGGCAACTCTGCAGTTTT